ATGGTTATGATTTAAAGAGTGCTTATCACATATTGAGATTGTTGAATTGCACAGAGAATATTTAGGTTTTGCATGGGAGATAGATGGTTTAAATAGATATTTTGTTTTTAATGTTTTGCCCTTTGGATTGGCTACAGATGGCTTATTTTCCAAAATTCTTAGAGAAGTTGTAAAGTATCTCAAATCTAAAGGCAAATAAATAATTATGTTTTTAAATGATGGTTTGGGAGGGGACAAATATAATGAGACTTGCCGAAAAACGTAGTCAGATTGTTAAAATTCAACTTGAGAAGCTAGGTTTCTGAATTGCACATGAAAAATGTGTTTGGGATCTATGTCAAAAAATGAAATGGTTAGGTTGCGTTTGGAACACTGAATCTGGTTAATCATTCGTAAGTTCTGAGAGAATTGACAAAGCAGAGCAAACTGTAAACTATATATTTTCTGAGATTGTAAAAGATTAATTTTTGTTAAAGGCTCGAATTTTAGCGGGCCTAGTTGGTCAACTCATATCAATGCAAATAGTATTTGGTGATCTGGAGAGGTTGAGAATAAGAACAAGAAGTTAAGCTTTACTGCCACAAAAAAGAACGTTGTACGTAGATCGAAACTGTAGCTCCTGGCTTAAACCTAGGTTTGCATTCGTTACGTTCTGGTGGTGCCTCTGCAGCAGCAAGATCAGAAGTAAACTAGAAATGAATTAAACGTCATGGAAGATGGAAACCAGAAATTAGCAAATATGGTTACATTGCTGATTCCTTATATATAAGATTATCAGTATCGAGAAAAACTTGGTTCATAATTTGGACTCTTTTCATCCATTTCTTTGTGATCTCTAGTTTGGCAATGATAGTTTGGCAGTCGGAAAATATATATTTGTTTATTATATTATTCATTATATTGAGATTTATGGGATAAATGGCAATGATTTCACATTAGTAAAGTGTGTACTTATAATTTTCCGCGTTTCGCAGTATAGAGGAAAATTATTGTACTAACGTTCCGTCTGATTAATCATTTAATTAATCACATGTATACATGTACCTGTAATAAATGGGCGGGAAATATTCCCATGTAGTAATCACTATCTACCAAACCCTGATACAGTCAAGTTTCTTAACGATATTTATATATATATATATCTTTTTTTTTTTAGTTTTTAATTTTATATCCAGAGCTCGTTCTTTATTAGGTTTTTATGATATTTGTACTTGTATTTGCTCATGTATGAACTATACATTGTTTGTACTTTATTTGCTGATTTTTTATCTCAAAGCATACTGTCAAACGCATTTGACTAGCAGGTCGAACAACTGATTTAAGAACAGGGTATAAGAACATCAGTTGTTCGACCTGCTAGTCAAAAGCGTTTTGTTAAAATATACTTTTTCACTTTTTTGGTCTTTTGGAAAATGTTGTTTGTGCTGTATTTAGACCCCTCTACCAATAAATTTGTTTTGCATGCACACGTATAAAAATTGCGGTTTTTATCCAACGCAATCATAGGTTTGAACGTTGTTTTCAATTTAGACTTGTTTATATTTTTTTCGTTTGGGCTTGTATTATATTTGCCTTCGGGTTTATATGATCCGTTCATCCTATTACGGCTCTTTCAAAATTCAAGAGTCTATCCTAAATTGAGGTTAACTATATGGCCTTCCAAATACCGTTTCGATTCCTAACATCACTGTAGAGACATTAATTGTCGAAATCCGTATATGGTGTACAAATTTTAAACCTCATGTTTGCGGTATACCATCTTTTCCGCAAGTTTATTGTTTTCTGTTTGGTAATAAATTGATAATAAGATCCATTTTGTTACATCTTGTGATCCGTTTATTTGGCAATCGCCAATGGCAGTCAGCAGGGTTTAAGAACATCAGTTGTTCGACCTGCTAGTCAAATGCGTTTTGTTAAAATATACTTTTTCACTTTTTTGGTCTTTTGTTTATTATATTATATATTATATTAAGATTTATGGGATAAATGACAGTAAAGTGCAAGATGTCAAATATACTAGTCAACAAAAGAAACGATACAACACTTTAATCAAAAATAATATTTTATCGTTTAGTAGAAAACAATTACAAATAGATAAAATATATTATTTTAACGTTCTAGGTGACAAAGTAACAAAAAATAACGTTCCAGATAGTTCCTGGACCGAATACAGACGGATCAAATTCAGTATCCGGAATTTCAGTTTGCGGAATGTAATAGCGAGTTAGGCCGCCTCTCACAGCTACCACAGCTTCACACCTATGAGGCACAGATCCAACCAAAGTAATAATGTTGGATTTGGGGATATTATTGGATATCATGATATCTATTTTTAATTAATCACATGTATACATGTACCTGTAATAAATGGGCGGGAAATATTCCCATGTAGTAATCACTATCTACCAAACCCTGATACAGTCAAGTTTCTTAACGATATTTATATATATATATGTCTTTTTTTTTTAGTTTTTAATTTTATATCCAGAGCTCGTTCTTTATTAGGTTTTTATGATATTTGTACTTGTATTTGCTCATGTATGAACTATACATTGTTTGTACTTTATTTGCTGATTTTTTATCTCAAAGCATACTGTCAAACGCATTTGACTAGCAGGTCGAACAACTGATTTAAGAACAGGGTATAAGAACATCAGTTGTTCGACCTGCTAGTCAAAAGCGTTTTGTTAAAATATACTTTTTCACTTTTTTGGTCTTTTGGAAAATGTTGTTTGTGCTGTATTTAGACCCCTCTACCAATAAATTTGTTTTGCATGCACACGTATAAAAATTGCGGTTTTTATCCAACGCAATCATAGGTTTGAACGTTGTTTTCAATTTATACTTGTTTATATTTTTTTCGTTTGGGCTTGTATTATATTTGCCTTCGGGTTTATATGATCCGTTCATCCTATTACGGCTCTTTCAAAATTCAAGAGTCTATCCTAAATTGAGGTTAACTATATGGCCTTCCAAATACCGTTTCGATTCCTAACATCACTGTAGAGACATTAATTGTCGAAATCCGTATATGGTGTACAAATTTTAAACCTCATGTTTGCGGTATACCATCTTTTCCGCAAGTTTATTGTTTTCTGTTTGGTAATAAATTGATAATAAGATCCATTTTGTTACATCTTGTGATCCGTTTATTTGGCAATCGCCAATGGCAGTCAGCAGGGTTTAAGAACATCAGTTGTTCGACCTGCTAGTCAAATGCGTTTTGTTAAAATATACTTTTTCACTTTTTTGGTCTTTTGTTTATTATATTATATATTATATTAAGATTTATGGGATAAATGACAGTAAAGTGCAAGATGTCAAATATACTAGTCAACAAAAGAAACGATACAACACTTTAATCAAAAATAATATTTAATCGTTTAGTAGAAAACAATTACAAATAGATAAAATATATTATTTTAACGTTTTAGGTGACAAAGTAACAAAAAATAACGTTCCAGATAGTTCCTGGACCGAATACAGACGGATCAAATTCAGTATCCGGAATTTCAGTTTGCGGAATGTAATAGCGAGTTAGGCCGCCTCTCACAGCTACCACAGCTTCACACCTATGAGGCACAGATCCAACCAAAGTAATAATGATGGATTTGGGGATATTATTCAACTCCTGTATGAGAGCCAAATGCAAGCTTTGTAGCGTTTCCGGTGGATTTTGCCTTATCGAACACGTCTGCCAAGTTGATTCAATAAATGTTCTATAGGAGAGAGATCCGGTGATAATACTGGCCAAGGGAAAACTCGAATATAGTTTTGTTCAAGATAGTTCATACAAATTCATGCCACGTGACATCTAGTGTTATCCTGTTGGAAAACGTGGTTTAATTGTGTGCGTCCGTTGTGACATATTCCACCTCATACCACCGAACTTCAAAAACGGTTGCGGAAGTGTAAAAAACGTATCGCACGATTTTGACGTTGTGACTTCGCATGGGGTCTGTCGCTGCGGGGTCTATCATTTGTTGACGAATCATCAAGTCTTGATATTGTTATTCCTGCTCCATGAAAATGATTTGCGACGTCAGCGTGCGTCATCTCAGCTCTGACCATAGCAACAGCTTGTTCATGCTCATTTTGTAGTAACCGTGGCATCAAATTCTCGATTTGTTTTCCATTTTTTAAGATGGAAAATTGTTACCTGATGCAGTAGCCCATTTATTGACATCAAACACTTTAAATGCTCCATTCGTTTCGGATTTTTTTTTGAAAAAAAAATGACTTAACAGATGCTTTTTGACGTTGAATACAGAAATAAACTTATACAGAAACTTTAGATTGAAAAATATAGAATTATTGACAAATTTAACTTTGTATCGTTTCTTTTGTTGACTAGTATATTTGCAATTGAAACACAACTAATTAAAATTCTAAGTAGTAGTCATAGTGTTTCTATTTGTTTTTCTCTTTTTGGGGTATTAAAGGATATTGTAACGATAATTACATGTGAAAATAGCTTGTTTTTGATATATGATATTTTATGATTTCTCTTAATAATATTTAGCTCACAGTTTTGTCTATATACACGAACCACTATACGTATTCAGTATATATTCTACTATTATATGATCTGGGTCAATTCGTTTTACGATTGATGATTATATTTTTTCACCTGTGTGGTAACATATTTCGCTAGGTCAAATACATAATAAAGTTCCCCGGAAGAAAAAATATTGAACGATGTTAGATAAAGCGTATGGCAGATCCTTTCTATTAGTAGTGTCAATACACATCACAAAGAGACAGTTTGTCAAGATATCTTAAACGGAATATTGTGCAATTGATATTAATTGTGACTGTGAACAAGTACATGTTTGACATCTAAATCAATTTTAAGTCATTAAAAACAAAGTGATTCTGTGATCTGATTTTTTTTTCATTTGTACGTGTATTATTGGTGGAGTTATAACGATATTAGTTATATATATATATATATATATATATATATATATATATGTGTGTATAAAAACATCTTTATTAGGATGTATAACTATAGATATCACATAGTGCAGGGTTTTTTCATGTTACTTTCTTTAGTATATGCTCAAGAATGTAACATTACAGTTCATGAACATTTATCAGAACAAACGAAGATAGCTGACTGTAGTAGGAGAGGTTTTAGCGAAGTTCCAAAGACACTTCCACGTGATGTCACCGTTTTGAATCTTAAGGGAAACAAACTTCGTGATATCAGTAATTTTTCTTTTGAAAATTACAGTTTATTAAGCAATGTATCATTGGCTGAAAACAAACTTCACATTATTGAGGAACATGCATTCTATGGATTAAGCCGATTGAAGTATTTGAATATGTCTGACAACATTCTGAACTTAAAACATGTCTATACACCAGAAATGCTTATGCCGTTGCAAAATTTGACTAATCTGGACATACGGCGAAATATTCATAATGAACCGAATGCGGATTTTTACCACTATCCTGACCAAGCCTTTGCCGTTTTAAAAAAGCTAGAATACTTAGCATTAGATATGGCTCCAAATCCTTTTTTTGGAATAGGATTTCAAGGGCTAAAAAACCTGAAATCATTAACATTTGAATTCTGTTTTTTAAAATATCTACGAGGATATACATTCGAAAACTTTTCATCGAGTCTAGACGAACTAAAACTGACTAGATGTCATTTTAATTTTTTGGAAGTGGAAAACAATACTCTTTCTCCTTTTCCTCATATTACCAAGATACATTTTCAAGAGTCATGCATGCATCTGAAACAGGCTCTTAACATGCTGTCACCATATAGTGGCAAGACTATTGAAATAATGAATTTTCGGGGTCTCAACTGTCCTATCTTCAATAATAATGAATATCCGTTTGCGTTAACTGTCACACAAGACATGATGAGGTATTTGAAAACTGTTTGTGTAGAAACTTTAGATTTATCCGACAACGGAATTGTTGATTTTGATGAAAACTCGCTATTGTCATTTGATCGACCAGAATGTTTAAAACATTTATACTTTAAAGGAAACCGGTTTGCGTTTGCTTATGGAAGACAATTGGACGAGGTAAAGACATTTTTTAACAAATCTGTTGCATTGAAAACATTTGACTATTCTTTTATTCCCGTTCGATATAAGCTATATGCAAATGATTTACGTTTTCACGCACCAGATTATCATTTTTCTAACAATATAATATACTTACCACGTTCTTTAGAAAAATTAGTTTTGGGCAATGTACTATGTGATGATATTTCTAGAATATTTTTTATACGTCGAGGAAGCAATTTGACTTACCTCGATGTGTCGTTTAGTTATACAAATTTTGCTGTAATTTTTGAAGGAAACGCTACATACAAAACTGAAACTTTAGTCTTAGATGGTCATTATCACATAACGTTGTACACAATAGAGCTAGTTAGTTTCATAAATGTAAAAACTTTATTCTGGAGAAGTGCTAAGTTGTTTTATATTATGCATGCTCGTTCAGATGACATGTTTCTTAAAAGATTTATAGCACTTTTTAGAAAATTTGAATATCTCGAACATTTAGATATGTCAGATAATGAGCTTTTTATTTTACCAGAAAATCTGCTTATTAATATTGATCATATATCAGAATTATCTTTGTCTAAGAATTTATTTCAGTCCATTCCAAGTGAGATAATTTCTCAAAATAATATTAAAGTCCTAGATCTTAGTAAAAACTTATTACCAACAGTAGATTATGAAACACGTGTTTGGGCGGATTCAATGAATAAAAAACATGGTTTTTATTTTCTTCTTGATGACAATGCATTTGAATGTAACTGTGATAATTTGGATTTTATCGATTGGGTTAAAAAAACCAAAGTACATCTTGACAACAGATTATACAATTGTACACTTTTGAACGGCACAGTCATAACCGTACTCGAAGCATATGAAAACATGCATGATTTGTTTTCCCACTGTAGAAATTCAGTATGGCTGATGATCTCTTCCACTTTGTTAGGAACAAGTTGTATGATGACTGTGATACTTTTATTATACAGTAGACGATGGAACATAGCTATATTTTTTTACCGCATATTTCGAAAAATTGTTGAAAAGAAATATCGTAAAAAATACACATATGACGTTTTCGTTTCATATGGAGGGGATTGCATACCTTGGATAAAAGAATACTTTATTCCAAAACTAGAAGACGAATGGAAACTTAAGATATGCTTAAAAGATCGCGACTTTTACGGCGGAACGTCATTTTATGATGCAGAGGCAGAAAGCATAGAAAACAGTAGACATGTTATATTTTTACTTACTCCAATATTTAAAGTCTCGCAAGACTGTCTTTTTGAAATTGATAGAGTGAAACATGAAATAAGTATGCAGAACATTGAAAATATTATAGTCATATCTAAAGACATCACTTTAAAAGATATTCCTGAAGGACTTACTCATATTTGGAACTATGTTTTATTTATCCAGTGGCCAGAAGACTGCAATGATCATGACTTCACATGGTTAAAATTGAGAAAGTGGATGTTCAGTGATTATCTATATTAGAATGAATGAAGCGAAATTAATGCAGTGCAAACGCCAGGTGTCTTCTAATAAGAAAATAACACTTTATAAAGATTATGCGTCCGAAACGATTTTCTGATTTCACCTTTATCGGGAACGCTCAAAGCCACAAATCTTAAAGCCAATGGTGTATAAGTATCAAAACACACGAAGAGTTTTGTTAACCAAATCCATCTCCATCTAAGGTCAATTTTGGCTCAGGGAGTTGGAACTTTAGCTATCACAGTGGTTCAGCTAGGCACCGGTCACAGAACATTTGCCAATCTTTCTCTTTATGTGTTGATATTGATAATTTTAGTAATTTTTTTAAATGTCCTGATGAAATTAGTATAATAAAACTATATTGATTTGAAGTTATAAAGTTTTTATGAACTACTGTTATCAAGAGACAAGGATGAATTTATGTTATAAATATACCTCGGTTAGATACAAAAAAGGACAACCCTCTTTTGAAAATATCAAAATAATCAAGTCTTTGATTTATTAATAAAATTAACAAAATTTTTAAAAGATTGAAAATTCTAACATTTTTGCAATTGCAGCGGTCAAATAATTTCTTTTCTCCTTTTGTTATTAATAACCGAAAATAAAATGTATTTTATCCTTATATTGTCCCATCACAACACACCAATTTATTAAAATCAACTTGTTAGGGAAAAAAACGCATGCCTTGTACACAACAGGTGTGTCTTTAATCACTTTCATCAGGGTCGCTCGTAGTGTAAAAGTGTAATGTGAAGAACTTAAAACCATGACATAAACAACCAAATACAACTTGCCTTGTTTATAAAAACGCAATAATATTTGTATCAATATACAGGTAATAAACTAAATGCCCTTCCATTTCCAAAGAACCTTTAGCTGGTGCTCTATGATGAAGTTTGTATTGCCAAATAAACGCGTGCGTTTACCAAAATCAAGTTAATGCATTGAAATAAAAATTTCGTATATCTACTAAAGTTAGCGCCCGTATACCCTGTGTTCTTTTAGTCAGTAAAGAATATGATCGTTTTCAAGTAGATGTCAGATGTAAAATGTTTACAGAGCACTTGAAACAAAGGCAATTTCACTTTTAATGCTAAATTTGTGTGAACATTATACATAAACTATATGTTTATTTAAAAGTTCCCTCTATATTAATAATCTACTTAAGTTAGCGCCCCGTTTATTTTGTGTTTGTTTAGTCAGTATAGAATATGATCGTTTTCAAGTAGATGTCCGATGTAGAATGTTTACAGAGCACTTGAAACATTTCACTATTATCGCCAACTTTTTGTGAATATTATACATAAACTATATTTTCATTTAAAAGTTACCCCTATTTTGAATTAAAAAATCTATGGTTTTCTCATGTGTTTTAAATAATTTATTATTAAATCATTGCTTTACAAAAAAAATGTATTTAACAGTTAGAAAATAAAATATTGCAAAATTGTATCAAAAAGATGTATATTGTAAACAATTGACTTAGCCATGCTTTTAGAAATAAACATGTGGCATATAATGGTATATGAAAATAAGGAGATGTGGAATGATTGCCAATGAGACAACTATCCATCAAAGTTCAAATGAACTGAATGTATATATATATACCCTGCCACGTCCGGTCTGTGTTTTTGTTTGATGTGTTTCTGCTTTGTATTGATCTGATGAGTTAAGCCTTTTTCAACTGATTTTTATAGTTTGTTCTTATGTTGTTATTACACCACTGTCCCGGGTTATAGGAGGGTTGACCCCACACAAACACGTTTAACCTCACCACATTCTTTATATGCCTGTCAAAAGTCAGGAGCCTGTAGTTCAGTGGTTGTCGTTTGTTCATGTCTGTCATATTTGTTTTTCGTAAATTGTTTTGTTATCAGTTAGGCCGTTAGTTTTCTCAATTGAATTGTTTCATATTTTTCATGTCGAGGCTTTTTATAGCCGACAATATGGTATGGTTTTTCTCATTGTTGAAGGCCGTACTGTTGCCTATAATTGCTTACATCCACATTATTTGAACTTTGGTGGATAGTTGTCTCATTGGCAATCATACCACATCTCCTTATTTTTATAGTAAGCAATTATAGGCAACCGTACAGCCTTCAACAATGAGAAAACCCATATAGTATAGTCGGCTATAAACGGCCCCGACATGAAAAATATGAAACAATGCAATTGAGAAAACTAACGGCCTAATTTATAACAAAACAATTCACGAAAAACGAATATGACAGACATGAACCAACGAAAACCACTGAACTACAAGCTCACAACATAAGAACAAACTATAAAAATCAATTGAAAAGGGCTCAACTCATCTGATCGATATTAAGCAGGGAAAAAATCTGACAAAAAACACAGACCGACCGTGTCAGGGTATTTATACATCCCTAAAACAAAAACAAAAAAGTAGAGATCTGAGAGTACTCGCAGTTACTGACAACCAGTTCAAAGCCAATAACAATTAATAAAAGAAATCATGTATCTAAGACTAAAATATCAACATCCACTGGATTTAGTGTAAAGACGTCATTAATAGTTAGAGAAAAACATGACCTTGTGCTATGCCAGATTATAGGTATCGACAAATTGTATTACCGTGAAGGAACATATGTGTATAACAATACTATTAAGTATGGTTTTAATTTACTGATAACAAAATGAATATTTATACCAATAAAAACAATACAAGTATTCACAGATCTAATTACATTGTTGAATTGGTAACAATTTGAATAAGTTTGTTTAAAGGATTAATGAGTTCACCCGGATCGTATATAAATTTCCGGACTCGGTAAACAACATCACTGTCAAATCTAGGACGTGCTATTCCGTCTGAAATAAGTTTTTTACAGGTCAAGCCTAACTTGCTAACCAAATCTATGTATCTATGGAAGAATTTAGTAAAGGTTTTAAGTAATTTGTGGTAACGAAATCCCTGACTTGATAATTTACCAGTAATACATAGATTACGTTCATTGAAATCCAAAACGTCACAACAGACTTGGGCATGTCGAACGAGTTGGGATATACATTCACCTTATGGTGGTGCCAAAGGAACATCATCGTCAAAGAAAAGAAATTAACAAAAGGGAAAGAAAAATCATCCCTTTTGTCGTATATTTTTGTGTAGAACTTCTGGTGTAAAACGGAAATGTCTAAATCTAGTAAAGGACACTTATTGCTGTTAATATTTGATTTATTTACTGTAAGTTCATTTGGGTAGATTTTGGCGGAATATTTAGAGAATTCTTAATTACTTAACATAAAATATCATCATGATAACGATAAGTTTTGTTGAATTTATCAATTAAAAGGAATTTAGACGGGTCTTTACTGAGTGTAGCCATAAGCTGTGATTCATAATAATACAGTAAAAAGTGTCCTATTAAAGGGGCACAATTGGTGCCCATCGAATTGGATATCTACAATTTGTCGATAAAATTTATTGCCGAAACGTACATAAATGTTGTCAAGGAGAAAATGTATGTTTTTAATCATCTCATCACACCTCCAGTAAGTATATCTAGCATATTTATCTTTCTTATTTGAGAAAAAGGCTTTATATGAGTTGCAGCAAATAAATTGGCAATCAGATTTATCAAACGACCATTTATTTAAATAGGAAAACTTTGTTCGATAAAATTGTGTAGAAGTGTAGTATAAAGAGTAGAAAACTCAAAACTGTCAACCGAATCAAAGGAACCATCAAAGGCATGTAATTTATCTCCTTAACCATTGGATATTCGTTGGACGGGAGAGGGGACATGACAACTTTTTGGAAATGATTATTCTAGCCTGGCAGAACCGAAAAAAATGAATTGCCCAAAACAGGATTGAAATAGTTATATTGCCCTATATAATGCAGGAAATAATTGTGTTCAAGCAAAATCAATTATAATTCAGCGGCCTTGCAATTGTACATTGCGTCCACAAAAAATCCCGCTGTTGAATAAAAGTTTAAAGCAAATGGTCGCGCTCCTATTTTCATTTGTTTTCGGACCATACGAATATTTCTGAATGCATGGCGCTCTACAAGGTGAAAAGCATTTACTTCTCCGATCTGTAAAGCATGTTTTGAATTTATAGTTGGTAAATTTAGTCTTTTGAAGACGAAACGCGCGCTATCGTAACAGTTATAAGCATGGTATATTGATGAGTGTTTTTGTATAAACAATATTTTAGCTATTTACCAAATATTCATACAAATGTACATTCAGCATTTGAAATGATATTTTCGAAACGTATTTTGAGTAGAATTTAAACTCGAAATTGAATCTGAGCGAAACTTTATATGACGTACATACAAATGAAGTTTTTCAACTTTCTTAAGGTTTAGTTTGATGACATTAAAAATCCACAATTTGTATATACTATTTTTGTCATAAAATCAAAACCTTATGAAATTGAATCATTATGAGAAACAGTGATCCATTGAATCTTGGGTGCTCCTGATGTTGAAGCAGTTTTTGATTCTTTCAAGATACCCGATTCTTCCAAGATACTCGCCGTGATTCTCGTTGAGGTCTATTGTCGTTTGAAATAGAGACAACCAATTACAGGCAATCAGCTCGTAATGACCTTAATCGTTGGACAACACACTCTTTCTTAAGTAGTTTTTGCAGTCAGCGGTTTCACCATGTAAAAAAGTTAAATGTTATAACAACAAGCTTCCTAGTGGTATACGACAGATATTATAGGATTAAACGCCTTTTTAAAGGAATTTATTGGTGTATAAACTCGACCAATTCACTCACAAACAAATAAAAGTCCGAAACTCGACCAATTCACTCACAAACAAATAAAAGTCCGAAGGACTTTTATGATATGTTTGTGAATGACTTGGTCCAGTTTATACACCAATACATTCCTTTAAAAAGGCGTTAAATCCTTATAATTCTTTAAAACTGGAGATAAGGAATTTATTTTTCCACACTCGTAACCTCTATCACATGTAAAGTGTATATTTGTGTCATTGAATTGGCCTGGCGCATGAATATATTTGTTGGTGAACGCAAAAATATGTACTCCATAAAATTTGCTATATGATAAAAAATAAACTACAAAAACATCTTATTACCACTCAAATGAATGTTTTGTGTTTATTATTTGATATATATAACGATTAACGCAAAGTGAAAATAAATATTTTCAACGTCGATCCGGATTGTGTTATTATCGTCGCCATTTTGTTTACATTGGTAACAAAAAGTAGTTCGGTCAACGTCGTCTATCGAGAAAAAAACAACGTCAAGAACCACTACCGGAAATCCTCTTGACCAATCATATAAACGTATTCCCTAATATGCAAATCATATAAGAATTATTAACTGATATCTCTATACACTGTTGCTGCTTAAAATTTGCTCCATACGAAAAGAAAGTTCATTCCACATTGTTGTCAATTTATATTCAGGAAGAACCCCACCCAACCCTAAACAAGGGCTGCATAAAGCGGAGCATCCCCTCACAAACGAATATTTATGTGATCTTGACATTTTGTATACCAAGTCGGTTTTGAAACACAGGTTCAACGGTGTCCATAAGAATGTTATGTACGAACGGACAGACGTCCAGTTATACAAGGGCTGCATAAAGCGGAGCATCCCCTCACAAACGAATTTTATGTGATCTTGACATTTTGTATACCAAGTCGGTTTTGAAACACAGGTTCAACGGTCTCCATAAGAATGTAATGTACGAACGGACAGACGCACATTTATAATATTCCCAGCACTTGTGTAGGATTTTTTTTACCTAATCGTTTATAAAAGGGTAGTAATTTATAGGAAAAAAAATTTATGAAAGCAAAATAAAAATCACAGCTGCATCTACTGAAAATTATAATAAATGTAAAGGGACAAAGGCCGTATAATCTGATCTACAATTAGGAGACGGGTATGTCAATTTTTGAAAGTGTTCAAATCGAGAATGGTTCCGATGGTGGATCATTTACGTCAAGCGGTAAATATTTCATGCATATTTAGGACAATATCATGTTAGGCGTTCAATGAACAATATTCAATCCATCATAGATCACAATACCGATTTCGAAAGCTACGAAAAGCATGAATACCAAAAATTGAGAGTCAAAATATAGATAATTAGCATATATATTTTTTTTGAAGGGACAGTTGATATTGATATATACATCTTGGTGCGATATCAATAGGCTTTAGAATATTGGTATTGACGTCCTGCGTACAAAACAAAATACAAGAGGGTTTTCCTTTTATAATAAAATGATTTGGGGAAACCCACCAGTTTATAAGCAAAAATTCAAGTTTTTCGTTATTAATAATCTTTGAAATATTTCCTCATTTGCAAG